AAAGTGTCCAGTCCTTTGGAAAATGTCTCAGTGCAGGGATTTGAATTTAGGCCACGTGATTTGCCTGCGGATGGTGACTACAACTAAATCCTTGCTCGGTTCTGAGGAGGTCCAGAAAAGCTCTCCAGAACTTTGACGTGAATGGGACCCCTCTACCTGAGATAATGCGTTGTGGTGCCCCATAGAAGTGGTAAATGTGCTGCAAGAACATCTTTGCCAGTTTTTTGGCTGTTGGAATCTTTTGGCAAGGGATGAGATGGACCTGATTTCAGAATAAGTCAGTCACAACCCAAATTACTGTTGTTCCCTGAGCTTTCGGGGAGTTCCACAATAAAATCCATGGGAATCTCTCTCCAAGGTGCTGATGGCTCAGCCACCTATTTTGAGCAACACTGTGTTTTTCCTTGCCTCTGCTTTGCGGTCACACATCTAGGGCAGCTGGAAGCATAACTCTCCATGTCTTGTTTGAGTGAAGGCACCAGAATTGCCTATTGAGAAAGTGGAGGGTTTCCACAGAGCCAAAATATCCCACCAACTTTGAATCGTGGCACATCTGCATGGTTTTTAACCTCTGGCTGGCAGGCATGTGCAATTTCCCACCTGCCCGCCTATATATGATCAAAGCTAGATATCTTCCCCTTCCTCATCTATTTTAACTGAAATCCGATGACACATTATTTTAATTTTACTGATCTTCAGTTTTCTGAAATTGGTAATTATTTTGGCCGCAAGGTGAGCTGGCCTTAACAGTGAACTAGCCCATTCAACAAACACACACGTGATTCAGTTCATGCCTTTTTTTTTTTGTTTGTCGTAAAGATTGCATCAACAGAAACTCACAACTTCATTGTTCAGAAGAAAAAATTATTTGCGTTTTTTTTTAAATCAAAAAATAATTTACAATGTTTACATCACAACACCCCATACCATTTCCAGACACATGCAATAAGCTGGAAAGTGGGGCAGTGTAATTGTTACACCCTTTCCTTATCACTATTCAGATTTTCATTTTGAGCCTGTTGGGTCACATTGGCAGACTTCACTCCGAAGCCAAAATTTGGCTGAACGTAATAAAAAATAAAGTGCTTTGTTAATAATTAGAGGTTTAAGAAAAAAAAAATATCCCAACACCTGGGAAATAGTTTTAGAGCTCACCAAAACCAGAGAAATAAGTTAGAAGGGAATAAAAGATGCCAATTGGTTAACAACGCTCTTCAAATTTGGAAACATTTTACTATTTTCAAGAATTTTGATTTAGGAAATGCTAAAAGAAAAAAACCCTATCATTTCCCTCTTCTAACTCCTTTCAGATCCCCTGAACTTTGTAAGTATTATTTTTATTATTTATATGATGTTTATCCCGCCTTTATTACTTTTATAAGTAGCTCAATGCAGTGAACGTACTTAATACTCCTCCTGTTTTTCCCACAACAATTCTGTGAGGTTGGTTGGGCTGAAAAGGAGTGACTGGCCCCAAGTCATCCAACTGGCTTTCATGAATAAGGGGGGACTAAAATGCCAGTTTCCTGATTTCTAGGCCAACACCTTAAGCATAGACCGGATTGGCTGCCTGCCACGTCAGTTACCTCTTCCTGCACTGAGCAATGGAATTTAGAACTTGGAACCCAGGGGTGAAGGCAGTTATATGGGGGGAGCCTTCTTACTGGTCATTTTGAATTTGGGCAAATTGTGGAGTGGACATACTTTACCTGTGGCTCTTCATCAGTTGACCCAGTTCAGGTGTCCAGGTTTTCAGATCCTACCTTTCCAGATTGGATAGGCTGGGAAATAAAAACTCTGGTTATTTCTTTCATTGTTTTTTGAAATAGTGAGCAGCGAAGTTAAATAATATCGATAGAAGGAATTTGGGGTGGGGTGGGGGTGGAGTTGGAAGTAGAGATTCAGAAGTTCCCCCAAAGGGGCTGCCTTGGTGGACATGGCAGAAAAGGCGACATCTACAAGCCCAAAGGTAACTAATCCTGGTAAGACAAATTTTGGTTTTATTGTAAGGTGTTAGAAGCCGGTAGCTTTTGATTTGCAGCATGCTAGTGCTTGATCAGGTGAGTCATTGACCTAGGAAGAGATCCAAAAAGAGATTTCTGCGCCTCACCTTGGCTGCACCAAGGATAAAAAGCTACCTACATAGCTATTTCACGCATCCCCTGGATTCTGCAGGTAAATATCTATCACTTGGTTACAAAGGGAACAGTGGAAGAGGAGATTATAGAAAGAGCGAAGAAGAAGATGGTGCCGGACCATCCCATGATACAACAGATGGACACCACCAGACAGACGGTTTTGGACAATAGCTCAGACAGATCCAAGTAAGGAGATGGGCCTTTTGGTGTGCTGAACAAGGTGGCTCTTTTATGGTACCCTTTAAATGTTAATCTGGGAAGGTGATAAGACTTAGGCTTATTAATTGGGGTGAATTGTTCAGTGGGAAGGGATCCTCTCTATCCCTATGGAGATTCACAGTCATCCAGGTCATGGTTGTCCCAAAGGTGCTTTTTCAATAAATAGAAGATTATAAACAGAAGATTATAACTTCAGTAGAGGCAAGTGGTAAATGTTACTGCCTTTACGAACAGGAGGAAAAAATAGCAGTAATTCAGTAGATTCTGGAACTTCCTTCAGCTTCACAGGCAGTACAAACCAAGTCATTTAGCATCAATCCCTGTTTTGAAAGTTTGATGAGATAAAATGAGATGGTTGTGGTTGTCAGCCAGACATAGTCATTGATACCTAAACGCATGCTTTATGCTAAGATTACTGTCTTTTTTTAAAAAAACATTTTATTTGTAACATTGTTTGATTTTAAAAAGACAGAATTATTTTAGCTACTCAGAATTGCAAATTGCCTAGTTTTCTTAGATAAAAAAGATTAGGAGGTGGATGAGGAACTAGATTATTTGAGATCCTGGAAAAGTGAGCTAAGATATGGTCCAAGTACTTGTGAACTGGAAAGCTTTGTGCAAGCCAGTGGCTTCATGTTTTTCTCTAGTACAAACCCAATCAACAAGGAGGAACTTCAGTTTGGAGCTGAAGGCCTTTTTAAAGACGCAGAAGGGGAAGAATCTGAACCACAGGTGAGTTTTCTGACCTATATTTCTGAGTGGAGATTACCTTGATTCTTCTTGGGATGTCATTTGTAATTGACAGACATTTAACTCAATTCAATCCAATCCATTCACAACTTTTCCAATCCACATCAGAACTTTAGAAGGGCAAATGTAATATTTCATACTGGTGTGTGTCTGACTGCACTCTTGCCCCTGCTTCCAGGAAATGGACATTGAGGAAATCTTACGCCTGGCTGAGACACAAGAGAACGAACCGTCCACAAGTGCAACCGACGAACTCCTTTCCCAGTTTAAGGTACAGGCCCAGAAAAGGAGCATCAAAGATCTTGGAATTTGTAGCATTAGCAGTGCAATTAAAAGGACTGGTGTGGAACAGAGTGAGTGAATCTGGCTTTCCCCACTGACTTTGCTCGTCAGAAGGTCACAAAAGGTGATCACACGGCCCTGGGACACTGCAACCTTTCATAAATGTGAACCAGTTGCCATGCATCTGAGTGTAAATGACATGACCATGGGGAATGGATGCTGCAACGGTCCTAAGTGGGTAAAACAGTCATAGGTCCTTTTTTTCAGTGCTGTTGTAACTTTGAACGGTCACTAAATGAACTATTGTAAGTCGAGGAGGACCTGCAGTTTGCATCCTCTGGCAAAGAGGATCCCTCTAACCCTGGGCTTTTTCTGGCCCTGGCAGCCTCAGCCCAATGACAGTGATTCGGGTGTTGGCATAAAGAGAAAGCTGCAGATATTATTTGGCTCGGAAACCGAGACGGAGGAATCAGATGATGACCAAAGGCCGAAATGCAAAAGGAGGCCTTGCAGCGTTCAGAAGGACACGGTGGAAGGATTTACAGACACCGAAATCAGAAGGTTGGCACCGGGGAGAGACCCAGGGATTCTTCTGGATGTGTTTTTCATCATTTGCCAGAGCTAAGGTGAACTGGAAAGGGTGGGAGGGATGCCCAGCCTACCTTGCAGTGAGGCCTGGTGGGGATGAAAGGAGGGGAGATTGCTCCAGTGGTCTTGAGCCTCCAGAGGAAAGGAAGAAAACAATGTAAAAACCTTCTGCCGCCTCCCTTTGCTTAACCTGACTTAGTAAATATTGGGCAACTTGAGAATTGCACTCTGGGCACATCTGGAGGGGTTTAATTTAAGAGAGCGGGACCAGACCCACAAACAGAGGGGGAAACAAAATGGAGACCTTTAGCAACCCTCTCTAACGGTCGTTGCTCTCCCTGTTTAAATTCCACAGATTTATCAAGGCTTACAAGAAGTTTGGTGTTCCTTTGGAGCGGTGAGTGCCAGATTAGAGAGAAGGTGCAGTCTACTAAATTACATCTGTAGGGACATCGGAGGATTGGTGGGATGATCAAACTTCAGGCACCTTTGGTTTCAAGTTTTGATTTTATATTTTAATCGCCGTGCGCCACTCAGAATCACTTCCAGGAGATGGCTGGTCCTATCAATTAGGTCCTGCTAGGCTATGTTCAGTTTCATCCTTTTTAGTGACATCACCACCTGCCAGAAGGCTTCCTGCATTCTCCTAGGAGGTTAGGGGGCAGGTTTGCCTCTCCTGCTCCCTCAGTATTGTTCATCTTTGCATTTAGGTCTTCAGTTAGATCAGCAGGACCTAGGAACACAACTTGCGGGTTTGCACATGTTATGTGGGATACATCATTAATTGTGTTTGGAGTAAAGCCTCACCAAGATGCTATGACTTGTTCTCCAGTAGCTGCTCTTAGTCCATCCATGTTCTGGAAGTGATTTAAAATAATGTCCAATTTTTGTGCATGTGTAGAAGGGTAGAGGGTCTTGATTTGCTGTACAGCATCTTTGTTACATCCCATCTCCTCCTTTTTAGACTGGAATGCATCGCTCGGGATGCCGAACTAGTAGACAAATCTGTAGCTGATCTTAAACGTTTGGGAGAACTTCTCCATAACAGTTGTGCTTCAGCCATGCAGGAGTATGAGAACCCAATTGAAAGTGAGCAAAGGGGCTTTCTTTGATGGGAAAAGGGTGGTGGTCAACCCTAGTTCTTCTTTTTCAAAATCACTGTCAGGTGCAAAGGATGAGAACTATATGTTAAGTTGCAGCATAAAATATTTATTCAAGCCTCTATGCAAGAACCTAATCAACTAAAGTTCAGTACTAAATTGACACCAAATAAGGTTCAACAGAATTCAAGAGAGAGTGACTTGGATTGTTTGTGACAATGCAAGGATTCTAAACTGATGACATGTTTAACTCCAACCCTCCGCAGTTCTGCCTGCTTTTCTCCTACAATAACAGGCTGGTACTTTAGCCCCAAAATGGAAACAGGTTAAAGTCTCAGGTGCTGATGTGCTCTTTAAATGCGACTCCCAACTCACCCCATCTGATTGTGACTGAAAACTCTGTGTGGCTCCTTTTGTTCAGGCAAAGGACCAGGGAAAAGAAAGGGACCCACAATTAACATCTCTGGAGTCCAGGTGAATGTCAAAGCCATCATTCAGCATGAGCAGGAGTTTGCAGTGCTCCATCAGGTCATGCCATCTGACCCAGTGGAGAGGGCAAGGTAAGCATGACCATGTAAGACATACAGAAGTGTGTGTGTGTGTTTGTGTAGCAGCCATGACTGGCCCCAAAAGAAGAAGGAAACATATTTGAGGAGAGAAAAAAATCACACGTTGCTCTTAAACAAAATGGACCCTTAGGTAGTATGTTGTTATTTATGCTCTGTTGACCTTTACCTTGGAAAAAGATAATATCATACTGTACATGTGAAGAGAGATCTAAATGGATTCTAGAACATAAATATGGAAGAGGCAGCCATTACTTTGACTCAAGAGAATGTAACCAAGAGAATTGCTGGATTAGACCAAGAGTCCAGTCCAGGATAATTTACCAGATTAGCAGCAGGTCTCCTGCAGTTGAAATCTTCTTTGAATGTTCTTCTACAGGTGTTCCTTGCCTTACAGACACAATGGAACCCAAATTTTCTGTTGCTGAGTAAGACAGTTGTTAAATGAACTTTGCACTATTTTACAAGCTGTCTTGCCACAGTTGTTAAGCTAATCATTGCAGTTAAATTATTAACCCATTTCCAGACAGTGAGAATAATTAATCAATGGAAGGGCTTGCCTCCAGGAGGTGTGGATGCTCCATCACTGGAGGCTTTTAAGAAAAGACTGGACAGCCATTTGTCTGGAATAGTATAGGATCTCCTACTTGAGCAGGGTTTGGACTAGACAACCTCCAAGGTCCCTTCCAACTTGGTTATTCTGCTAGATTCTTACAGGCTAGGCAGAAGTTGGTTCCTCATCTTCTCCAGGGAAAAATAACTAGGGAGAGATAAGACTTCCTTCAGGATCAACTTTGTATTGCCTTCTTTTCAACTAAGCCTTTTTAAAGCAATTTAAGGAATGGTCCTCTGCTCAGTTGAAGTGGAACTGAGGTCAGCTAGGGAGAAGAGGTTTAAGAGAGACAATTTCACCATGCTTTCACACATACCTCTAACTTTGCCTTTCCTTTGTCTTATCCAGTTCTGATGTGGAACTTTATTAACAAGGGGCGTCTCACACGGAATTGTTTCTCATCTTTCGCCCGTCCTCTCCTCCAATTTTGCTAGGTTCCATCTGAACTGCCGTGTCAAATCTGCCCATTTCGATACAGACTGGGGAGTGGAAGAGGACTCTTGCTTGCTGCGGGGAATTTACGAGCACGGATGTGGGAACTGGGAGCTCATCAAATCAGACCCAGAATTGAACCTGACTGACAAGGTACAAGGAACCTCACACGTGGGTCATGTTTTATAGATGCAACACCATACTATGATGCTTGAAAAAGGGACTTCTGCAGGATGTGGCAGCATCAGATATGGGGAGAACTGGCTCTGCAGCTTGACAAACAATGGTTTTTTTGTGTTGATTTTATGCATAAAATAGCCAGTTTGGTTTAGTCATTTAAGGCGCCAGGCTACAAACCAGGAGACTATGAGTTCTAGTCCTGCCTTGGGCACAAAGTTAGGTGGGTGACTTTAAACCTCTCTTTTATGTTTATTCCTTCTCCACCCATCCCCAGATTTTACCAGTTGAGACCGATAAAAAGCCACAGGGGAAGCAGCTCCAGACACGAGTAGATTATCTGCTGAAACTTATCAAAAGAGACCTGAAAAGGAAGGAAAGTGCGAAAAAGACAGAGGAGGTCAGTTCTGCCAAAAAGCAAGCTCAGTTTGCCCCTTTGGTTTATTCTATGCATTGTTTGGGAAGCTAGTGGGTGCAAAACTCAAGCTTCCAGTCCTTATGGTGGAAAATTAGCGCATAGTTTGAATCCATGCAAAGGCCTCAACAGTCACAGCTGCCATCTGCTCCTGGGCAGAAGCAAACATTCCAGGAGGCCCAATTGGTGCACCATCTCTGCTTCCCCATTGAGATTTAAAGCTGGTCACTCTCCAGAGCCCCAGAAATATGCAGTGAGATGGGAGACACTATACAGGGAAGGGTTGACACAAATAAAGAGAAGGATCACCAAATTGGCCAGCAAAGAGGGTTTTCTGATCATCTATGCCCTTGTGGGCTGTTCTTTTGATCTAGACTGAAGACAAAGTGGTGAAGCCCCAAATCCGGAAGGACAACAAGCCCCCCCAAATCAAGGAGGAGCCAGGAAGCGAGATCTCTTCTGCACAGCCTGCAGACAACCTGTCAGTAGAAGGACAGAAGAAGGTAAGCATGAGCTACTGAGGATCTGGGACTTTCTGGTGGAGAAAATGGCGGACTAAAATTTAGGATCTAAAATTTCCTCTCTCTAAGCTGGATTTGCTTATCAGTTGCATGCTTCCCTTAACAAGTGCAGTGATTTTGCTTAACTGCCTGGCCAGAAAAGGCCATTAAATCAGGCGCGACTGTCTTGCTTTCCAACAGAAATGTCTGGTCCCAATTACAGTTGTAAGTCAAGGACTGCGGTATTTATTATTATTATTATTATTTTGAGCGTACAGATGTCAGTTGTCTTAAGATACATTGCCCCCTTCCCTCCATCAAGAGTAAGGTGAATGTTCTGTCCTCTATGCGCATTCACATGTTTTGCCCCAAAGGAGGACGGGGTGAATAAGAATACCCTGAAAAAGAAGTTGAAGAAAGAGAACAAGGATAAGCAGCCAGCCAAAAGCCAACAAAACAAGGATAAGCAGCCAGCCAAAAGCCAAGAAAAGGAATGGGAAAAGGAAAGGAAGAAAGAAAAGGATAAAAAGCAACAGGATAAAAAAGAACAGGTACCTACTGGTGTTAACCTGTCTTGGTGGCCATGCCATTGCTGATTTTAAACAAAATTCACATACGTGTGCTGGTAACCTGGCTGTGTGTTTGTGTGAATAAGCCATGACCAACTTCATGTTCTGGGTAGAACATCCCTACTCTCCATTTTTCAGACATTTGGGCAGGGTGAATGCTTTGGCTTGTCCTTGTTAGACCTGGTTAGCTAAGAAGGATTGGGTTGGGTTAATAGGGTGGGAGAACATCAGGACCTCCCCAGATTGTGATCTAGGCTGAGAAGTCTAAGAAACATTGCAGAAGAAGACAACTCATAGATTGATTGTGAGGTCACCAAAAGAGTCTTTGCGACTATCTTGCTTGTACACAATTTGCAACTGGCTATCCTTGAGCATGTATTGAATGATGCTTTCATATCTGGCTATATAGGCTCTTAAAATTACTCAGTTCTCCCCAGCAGCTCAAAGTCTTAAATACCATATACTTCATCTCCTGCCCACCTAGCAGATCAAAAGCATGCAAATGCGAGTAGATAAATAGGCTCCCCTCTAGTGGGAAGGTAACAGCGTTCCGTGCGCCTTTGGGCATATAGCCATGCTGGCCACATGGCCACAGAAATTGTCTTTGGGCAACGCTGGCTCCCTTGGCCGTGAAATGGAGATGAGTACCGTCCCCTAGAGTCGGATATGACTGGACAGAGGAAACCTCTACCTTTAGTTTATTATCACAGAGATGGAAGAACCCTGTTTTAAGGGGCAAAGAAATCGCCTGGAAAATCCAGGCAGCAGAATCCAGTTTCTCAACCCACTTGATATTTTTTCCCTTCCGTTTCCTTCTTGGCACACCTGGGACTTTCCTTCCTGTGCTGCTGCTTAGAGGGATGCTATCTCCTCTTCTCCTTTCACAGCCCAAAGGCAATGAGGCCAAGTCTGCCCACAAAGGCAAGAAGACGCTGGCTCAGGGTCCCGTCCACATCACGGCAGGAAACGAGCCTGTCCCCATTGATGAAGAGGAAGAGGATGACTTGGACCATGCAACCTTCACCATTGTGAGTCTTCTCTAGAAATGGGGTGGAACTCTGGGGAAAAGTCAAAAGAGGGCCGGTCATTGACCCTAGAAAGCTTCCAGGGGAATATTTTGTTACAAAATCAGCTTACCTCTTCTTTATTAAATCAACTTTATTAAGCTTCGATGAAAGGTAAGATAAAAACTTAACCAACCCCAAAAGATTTAAACATTGGAAATGGGGCTGAAAGGGGGGAAAGTTGAAAAGTGAGAAGAAGAAGTGGGGAGAAAAGGATACAAAAAAAGGCCTTCAGACGGTTGTAAGTCAAGGACTGCCTCTATAATAAAATCTTCTGTTAGTCTAGATCAAAAGAAAAAATATCTTTCCTCCACTTTAAGGAATTCACCTAAAGAAGGATGGGAAATCTCTTGTACGCTCTCCAAGATTTTATGACTACCCCAGATGAGCCTTAAAGACTTGATCTTGCCCAGCTCCCAGGGGCTTGATACCCTGTGGGTGCAGATGTTGTGCTTGATATACCTCAGATTCCTTCAATTCCTTCCTTCCTTCCTTCCTTCCTTCCTTCCTTCCTTCCTCCCTCCTTCCTTCCTCCCTCCTTCCTTCCTTCCTTCCTTCCTTCCTTCCTTCCTTCCTTCCTTCCTTCCTTCCTTCTTTCTTTCTTTCTTTCTTTCTTTCTTTCTTTCTTTCTTTCTTTCTTTCTTTCTTTCTTTCCCTTCTGAGTTAAGATAGCTAACATGCATCAAAGCCAAACTCCGATCACTGGCATATGCACCTCAGCAGAAAATTACTTTCCTCCCAGCCAGTTCATCTCTAAAACAGGAGAATTGTAGATTTGCTGAGAGTGTGATCGAAAAGGGAGATTCTGCTTTGCAAGAAGGATGCCCCTCCAACTCAGAAATTGTCCTCCCTACAGCTTGGTGACCTGTGAATGAGGAAGACTCCTGTGGCTGCCATTTTGAGAGGGTGCT